TAAAGTTGTTAAATTATTGAGTTAGAACTACTAGTATACTGCATAATTAATTGTTCTGTTCCATTAAGCTCCAGATTTGCTCCATTTTCTCAGATTTCTTTTAAGTAAAGGCCTAGCTGTAAGTCAAGCTTCCTCAACTTGTATTATTTTCTTTAATATCTGGAAACTTTGCAACATATTTTTCCCCCATTATTCTGTGGTAAGCAGTAACTCCTCAGTGAACTTATCAGACACTTAAATGGTTGCATTTCTCCTGAGAATAAGCATTTATGATTAACCTTTACTTTCCAGTTTGTGTATTATTCATAGACATTAGTAATGATAAGAAACAACAACAGAAGTAACCTGAGCTTCACTGTTAAAAAGTTATATATCACATGTGAAACGGGGTTTTGTCTTTTTCCTAGCCTCCATGTGATATGTGTACGTGAAGTAGTGGCATGTTTTGGTGTGATGATGGTCTCTGGGTACATGTACCTCTGTAATTAACAACTCAATATTTGCTGAATAATTCCTACAAAACATTCCAAAACTTATCCCCACAGACACTAGTCTGTTGTGTGATTTCTATAATCATCTCTAAGGTGGATCTGTGGCCTGTGTGAACCCTAGGATGGCCAGTAAAAAGCTTGTTTTGGTGTGATGATGGTCTCTGGGTGTTACAAACTGATCACAATTACTAATGAATCTGCTTCTACAGCACATAGCCACTAGATGTCGCCGTACGACATGAACATGTCAAATCAGAGAATTTGGATGCAGTACAATACATTGTCCTCTTAAACTGGTTGTAAAGCTGCACATTGGACAAACCTATCCCACTACATAAGAGGAGTACCATCTAAACTCCATTGCTCTGTGTAGATGAAAGACTGTGGGGTTTAGTTCAGGAATATTCTATTTGCAGGAAATGGTGTTTCCTGCAAGTCTCGGATGTACATTGATAACAGGCAACAGTTGTTATGTTTAAGTGTTTTTCCCTGCTGTTAGATAAAAACAAACACACAGTGGGTTTATTTGTTTGATACCCACTAAAAACAAAAAAAGGAAATGCTATTTTTCAGGTTTCTTGTTTTCCATATTAAATACAATAACTGACTGAATGGATGATACACAGGCCACACCACAACATCAACCACAGAGATATCAAACTTAAAAAAATTAAAAAATGAACCTAGTTAGATTTTTTTAATTGGTCACTAACTAAATCATTTTACACACAATTTAGTTAATTTTTGACATTTTTATTAATCCAAATTTTAAAGCTCTTGTTTTGAAAGTCTTCTTTGTAAAGGATTCTTCCCTATCTGGTGAGCAGGCCTAAATTCCCCTATGAGCTGTGTTTTTATTCTTAGAAAAATCACCCAAGCCTATAGATGCAGTGATGAAGGAAAAGGAATGGGCTACCAAAACACTCCCTGTACTTGTAAAAACAAAAAAAAAAAAAAAAAACCACATCAGATGCATTCAATTAGTCAAGTAACAGCACTCTGTCACTGTAATGCCATCACTAGATGGTGCTGTTGAGTTACTAACTCTCTGTAGTGATAACAATTTAACCTGAGGATTACTTCTCCATTTATGAAACACTGTCACACATTACATAAGCTTGGGTAATACCTACCAGTCATGGTAGACCGGCCCTGAGATCTGCCAGCCGTACTTTGTAGCATCTTTGACAGCAGTGCCAAGTAGAGCTGCCTGATGCATGAGCTTCTTAGGAATACAGCCCACATTAACACATGTACCACCAAGACCCCATCTGGTACCTATTAGGAGAAAGAATTTCCAGCATACTCAAAAATGATATCTTTGAATCTATGATTTGTCAAGTAGAAATTGTTAGATTGTTTTCCAATTACCAGACAGGTTCAGTAAAATGCAGTTTACCTTGAACAGATGGCTCCACATAATCTAAAACAGCAACTTTCTGTCCCAGCTGTGCAGCTGTAAACAGGAGATATAGTCTATTGTTACTGCCTTATTTATTTAGTACAAAGCATAGATGGTCAAACATTAAGGAATAACAGGCACTGCAAAAGATCTCACCTTCTTTGGAACAGGCAAGCCCTCCTGAACCACCACCAATAACCACCAGGTCATATTCATACTTCCCTGTGTCAAAATAATGAATGATTAACAATAACCCAGTGTAGAAATGGGGCAAATGCTAAATTGCCTTAGTTAATCTATTACACTTGCATTTACCTCAAGTATTATTTTCCTCTCTCCTTTGGAACGACTGGTTCGCGAAACATAATTTAAACATCTGGCAACTGAATTTGGACTCAATTAAGTGTGATGTAAACGATTTACAATACTACAACTATACTTATCCTAACTTTAGAACAGGCTCTCGCGTAATGTAGATACCAGAACTCTCCTGGTTAATATGGAAACTAAACCAAGCAGCAGTGAAACGCGTTTACAAATCCAGTCGGTTTGTTAAATTTAAGATGAGCTGGACGACCGAGAGCACCAGGTGGAATTGACGGGATAAAAAGAAGCAGCAGGTCCACACGCTGCTGGTTTGCCAGTTAAAAGTGTGCCAACTAATATATCAAGACAAAAAAATTGATCTAACCCAGGTGCGTTCTTCATATCTACACAATATATTTAAATAACACATTATTTTACCTGTCAGGTTTCTTGTTAAAAGATGAAAACAACTAATCCTTTTCCACCGGTGCCTGCCTCTACATAAGGCAGCCATATTGTTATTAAAAAAAGGACCCTGGTTTGGTGTATGGTGGCTACAGTAATGCCTGAAAAGAAATTCGCTAGTTCACGTGTTCAATAAAATGTGACAATAGCTAAACATATTGTTCATATTAAATAAAAAAGGGAATCTCAATGCATTCCACTAAAAAAAAGTCCGCGTTTTAATGCTAATCATTTATGTAGATAGTAGGAATGTAGAATACACAGACAAATATATAAAGGTGTCAGCTTCAGTGTTCCTTGGCATTGAGTCTCCAAGTCTCTGAACTCTACTGGAGGGATGAACATAATTTTTCCAACAGATATTCCCTCAAGATATTCCCAAATGCAAATAAAAATCTTGAATCTTGAATGTGCTGTTTTAATGATGGTGGTGGAGATGCTGTCTAACACGTCACTCCAACATCTCCCATAGGTGTTCAGCTGGTTTGAGATCTGGTGACTCTAAAGGCCATAACATGATTCATGTCGTTATAGCCTACTCATCTAACTGTGACCCCTCTTGCCCTATGGATGAGAGCATTGTAATTCTGGAAGAGACCACTCCCATTAGGATAGAAAAGTTTAATTGCAGTTTAAAGGTGATCACTCATCTTTGTGTTGACTTGCCATGTCCCTTCCCTCTAAGGGGACAAGTGGACCCAAACCATGAAGCAAAATGCCCCCCACAGTATAACAGAACTACTGGATCCCTTCACTGTAGGGATCAAGCATTCAAGTTTTTACTTTAATCTGTCACCTACGTACATGAAAATGGTCCCTTTTTTCCATTTAGGCTCCTACATGTAAATAATATAAAGGAAATGTACAAACATGCAGAAAAACTAATATGTTTAATGATTAGGCAACATATGTTAACTGAGTTCTCAAAATATTCCATTTCACATGTACTGGTAAACTGTATCAGTACTCCCCTGAAAATAGTTGAATTTCTTGCAATAAAAACAACAGGCTGTAATGTTTCACTAAGTGGTCTGCATGGTACTAATTTAGAATATATAAAGTTTTGCTACATCCATTCCTGAAGCCTACAGACTATGTTCCATGCTGCTCCCATGTAGCATACATTCTCTTATTATATTCTTATATATTTTTATTATATTGCTGCATTTGCTGCTTAAAGTGCCTTAAATTTTGTGTTACTTATTCATCTACTTTATATTTCATTTGTATTTTGTGGCATTTGCGGCGGCAAAGTGAGAATTTCATTGTACAGGGAAACACGTTTCCTAACTGTGCATATGACAAATAAACACTTTGACCTTTGACTTTATAGGACTAGCAGGAAACAATATGCGTAATTGATCATATTAATGATGACTTCTAGCGTCAGGGCCAGGTTAAGGTTAATAATTCAACTTGTGCTTCTCTTCTAAATGTCAGCTGGTCATGCTACATTAACAATTATCCACTTCTGGAAAAACAACAGCCTGTGATTTTTTCTAGATCGAGACAGGCAATGTTTAAGAGACTTGAAGACATTTTCCCAGTTGCAATCTCACTTTAAGCTGCTTTGCATATGGATTTAAGCATAGTCACTTATTGACTCATATTCACAATCTAAAAGCTTTTCTAATAAGCTTCTTGTGTGGTTGGGTTTAATTTGTGCAGGTTAGATGTATGTCTGTGCAAATTCTCAGTCATCCAGGTCATAGTAGGTCTAGTCCAGTTGATTTTTTTTTTCAGGTTAGGTGTATGTTTGACGCATTGCAAATAAAATTGAATAGAAATGAAGCAAATTTCTGCCTACATTCCTGTGATATACTGCTGTTCTCTCTCGAATAAACCCTGCTTTTTTCTACTTTCTTTTTGTTTGATTTTTGGACCTTTATTTATTCAAGGTATGTCCAATGAGAGGCCACCTCTCTTTTCCAGGGGCGCCCTGTTCACATTCACACCTGGAAGCTGCCCAGTACAACCACAGACTGACCTGTGGCCACTGAGCAGCTCTACTTGAGTGACGGGGGTTAAGGGCCTTGCTCAAGGGCACCACAGTGGTGTTAATGAGGGAAAGGCAAGCGCTGCTTTGTCACCTGTCCCACCCAGATTTAATCCTTCTCCTCTCTAGCCTTTAGGCCACCACTGCTTACTTGAAATCAAAGACATAACATAAAATAAGACACAGAGGCAGGAAACAGCTTCTTTTCAGGCATGATTTATTGAAAACACACCAAATTTATAATCTACAAACCAGTATTTTTCTGTTATGTTTAACAAGCGTAATATTTGCCTCTGGGTATTAGTAAAATTAACATAATACATTCTGTCACTGTGGCATCACCTCTGCTCACTATGAAAGCATCAACAACTTTACTCTTCTAGGAAATCAAAACCGTTTTTTGAATGACTATCTTTTTAAAAGTTTATTATACAATGTAATACAAGGCAGAAACCCACCAACAGTCTAAACTACTCAGATTTGGGGGAAGGTGGGGTGGAGGGGGTGCAGGATGAACGAACAAGTGACTTAAGTGGAGGAAAGAGGGAGAGAGGGTGAAACAGGAGGAGAAGAGGGTAGAGGAGAATAGACAGACAGAGAGGTGACAGTTGAATGGGAGGAATAAACTTCTATAAAACACTTATTTTTATCTACCATGGAAAAGATTAAGGCACATGATAGGTACAAACACATCTGCTACTGAGTAGTTACTTTATTTTGACAGACTTGAACGACTTATATGTATCTACAGAACACAGGTAGGTTGGTTTGATTCCTTGTGTGTCCATGTCCTGGATTTATTTTATAGCACAGTTTCTTGGCTCTTTATTCTGTAAATGTACAACGTGTTGCACGCCCACAACACCAAAAATCACTTCTATGAATGCACTGACTTGACCTTCAGATCCTTTGGTTGTGGCACTGCACAGAGCAGTGATGAATAGACAGTCATATGGGTCTTTGTTGGAAGGACTCAACGTTGTCCAGTGAAAGCACATACTTCTGAGGACACACAAAAGGGATTGCTGGGTACTATAAGTTTTTTTTTAACCTCTGGATTTAAAATATATACAGTAAGTTTTTTTTTGTAGTTTATTGATTTTTACCACAACGCACATCTTTGTAAACACTGTGTAAAATATGCAAGCTGTATAAAGTCACATATGTCACAAAGAAAACTTGGACTTCAATGCAGGCACATGCCGTTCGCCTTGATGACGCATGAGTAAAACCAACTTGTACTGAACTGTCTGTCTCTTATTCAAGCCGAATCAGGAGATAGACTGAGGCTGGAAAGGAGACTGTACACATTGCCACCGGACTGTGAGTACAGTCTCACCAAGCAAGACAATAATGGCAATTTGCTTCTGTAGCTCTGTTTTTCTACATCTCAACTGTGCACCCTATAATGTTGTAAAAATATATACTATATGACCAAACATCATGAATGTTTTGTACAGTGTGATGCGCTCTTTGATTTAGTCTCAAAATCGATTCTTACTCCTGTACGTTCTTCCTGCACATGAATGAATCGGTTACTATCCAAATGACTGCACAAAAACCTGGCACTTGGAAAGAGCAAAATATAAACATTTGTACAGTTTTTCTTCATGCTCATGACTGAATATTTCTCTTTAAGATGCACCAGTGAAGGAGGGTTCAGGGTTGAACCCTAAATGCATGAGGAAGAAAAACAAAGGTATTTTTATAAACACTGCCATCTCTTGCCTATCCCATTACCTCTGTCTGACCTCTGACCCCCTGACCCTTCCAGTGTGTCTGTTTCAAAGATGCAGGGGTTGCCAGGCAGCATGTATTCATCGCCTTTAGAAAGAACACTGCAGATCATCTTTTTTGACAAAATATAAATAGGTGATCATCGGTGTAACTCAACACATTTGACACATTTAATTTATGTGGTTATTTCTTGCTTACAAATACGGTGAGCTTTTATATCAAATGAGATGTGCTTTCCAAACGTGATATTAATATACAACTAAAAAGTTGGTAATTTTTTGCTTTTTTTTTACTGTTTTCCTTTTGACCCTAATATACATTTATATAAAACCCAACAAAAATAATTAAAAAATGCTTTTAGATCTATCCTTTCAACAACAATCCTCTGCATCTCTTTTCAAAAACACAAATCTTTTATAAACAAAATGCCTTATATCCTCTTTAATACACATCACTGATAGAGATCAACCAACCAAGAAACTCAAGGAAGTGCACTGCTACACAACCTGAGTGATAACACATGTAACCACAGCTCTGTGAAGGTCAACATGCCACTTGGCTCATACATGTTGACCACAATGGAACAGTCTCTGTTGCTTGTGTTTGTTTCCATTTTAGCTGACATTTGGGAGTCAGTGCAGTGTGAACACAAACTGGAACTCCATCAGATGTACACCCTATGTTACTTTCTTTTCTCCAGACCACAACTCGCAGATTCCTCACTTTATAAAAGGAACAATCACCTGTTGACCACTTCTGATTTTAAAGCATCTGAGTGCATGTTTTGTTGAAGAAACCACAGTGAACCAAATGGATTGCAAGTCTATGAGTTGAGGCTGCTGGGAGCACATATTTATCCACTATGCTACAGCTCTTCTCAGGATCGGTTTCTCTCCCTTTACTTCTCCCTTCTCGTGTCCATCTCATCAAACCACAAAAAACATTCAGTGATCTTCAAATACACTGGTCCAAACCTGTTTACATCAAAATATCAAATTTTTGACAACAAAGGGAAAATACATTTCTCCCAAACCCACAAAATCTGAGACAGGAACTTTTTCCAGATGTGAAATTTAAAAAACACCCATTTTACATTTCTTTTGCTGCAGGCTTCCTTCCAACATGCGTTCCTTTTGAATTCACTTTCTTCACCTTACTTTGTCTGCCCACCCATTCCTTCCCCAGCACCGACCTCTGTCCGTTTCTTGTCACTGGTAGAGCTCAACAAGCGTCAACACTGTAAAATTCACATGATGTCCAGTGGGAATGTAGGTACGAGAAAGTAGCAGGAGTAGTCAATTTTATTCTTAAAAAAAATCTGAAAAGCATGAGAATGCTGGCTGCTGCTGGATAGTCATTGTTGTAATAATTTTTTTTTTAAATCCTCTTTTCTGTACAAAGTCCAACTCCAAAGATGAGTTCCCTGTGAAATGGCAGTGGTGATATGAGATCCTCCTCTAGCTGGGGTGGCGCAGTGGTGTTATTTTACGCCTGAAGAACATGGACAAGAGAAAAACAGTTTAGAAAAACCACCTGTTCAGTTTGAAATAACAATAAATGAAGAGTTTTAGCCTAAGACATCCACCCTGACTTAGACACTGTTTAGTGACTTAAAGGGTAAATGTGACACTTTTCTCTATTTTCTGTTATTGTGTACAAATCCCATGAAAATAACCCAAACAAAAACTGCATCTATCTTTCAATACTTCTCTTCAAAACCTCCCTACAAGGAGAAACCATACTAAATGTGTGATATGGATACTATAGTGTCCAGCTGAAGTGGCTTTCCCAAGCCACTCTCTTCTCATGTACTGATTTGCAAAGCTCAACAGCCAATCAGAGTGGTCTCTCTCTCTCACTGGCGAGGCCCATCTGGCCAATGCTGATTCAAACATGCCGAATAAGCCGTTGACGGTTCAAATAGTGCCAACAGTGTGGGACACAACGGGAAGACGAGCCCATTCGGATGCTCACCAATGCTCTGACGGTCCATTGGCTTGGGGTGTCTCAGGCCTTAGGAGCTCTTTAGTGCTTTTCAGCCTCCTGTTTTGGTTTTTCAGTCCATAACTTTACAGTTTTGGTTCATCCACACCACAGCAGGCAGACCAGTTGGTGAACATAGTGGAGCATTTAGAAGCTAAAAAGTCAAGTATTTCCCAGAGGAGTCGGTGAAAACTGAAACCCAGCAAATGTAATGTTACTGTTGCTGTCTGTCTGCTGGAGGTGAAAAGAAGCAATAGCTTTCTAAACACATTAGCAACTTTCTAAAGCCGTACTATGTAGAATGAGCCATTCACCTTGTTGTGGAGGTCTGTCCAGCTTCATAAGGTGTTATGTGTTGTTTTTACAGCTTGTTGCACTGTGAGCAAAAATGAATGAATACAGTTTTCAACACAGCCTAGCCACGGGAAGTACAGTTACTGAGGGTGCTGCAGCACTAAGTGCTGGATGCAGGGTATGCTTGATATTTGCATTTGTATTGATCTGTTTCACTACTGTGACTCCCTTTCATAATGTTGCAATTTGGTACTGAAACAGGAATAAAAATAATACATCTGCAGACTAACACACATTCAACATGCTTGTAAGTGGAGAGGAATAAACTTTATGAGTCTTTAGCTACACAGACAATACCTGATATTGTCACTGTTAGTCTTCTTCTTTTCATGGGATTTGACAATATAAAAATATATCCAGGCTCATCCTTTAAAATTGAATGCTAAAATGTATTTTTGTCAGAGCAGGCACTGCCTATGTGCTCAATGGAGGTAAGACAGCTAGACTAGACACCTGGCATTATCACAGTACTTAAGACATATGAAGTCACTATCACCAAATGCTTCAATCCAGATGGCAAATGGCTGCAAGAAACAGAAAAACATGCTCAACATGCTGGATGAGATCCTGCGTGTGCTAAATGAAGGGAATATACTTAGCTGATGGTTTATTCTGTAGCTGATTTTTATTAACAGTGAATACCATAAATGATACCACTTTATCTCTCACCACTCATCCTGTGATAATGCATTGAAATGAATGAATGGACACTGACAAAGATGACTGAGATAAGAAGATGACAATGAGGAGGACAGTGAGATCTTACAGCAAGGCCCAGGAAAGGACAAGAGAGTGAGGAGCAGGCAGAAGAGAGGGAAATGCTGCTGACAGAACTGAAGCTCACCCAGATCAGCCTGCAGCTTTGCAAGTCATTTAATGGGACATTAAATGGTGGGAATTCAGTCAGTCCCCAATATATTACTGATTTAGATCTTCTGTTATGACAAAACAATATTTCTAGTGGGAAAAATTTTTTAAAATGCTTCAATTGATTTTAGAGGTGGTAGGTGTTGGTCTATTAACTAAAACTTATAGAAGCTTTGTGCTGAAATACATTTGATTCTCTACTAAAAAGACATTTCAGGAAGTCCCTGATTCTCAAAGAGAAGCTGAACTTCTTCCTTCCTCTTCCCTTTGTGAAAATATGGCCATCTAAATTACATAAGCAGTCAGTTAGTAATTGATTATGCCAATAAAGTAAATATAACATTTTCGAAGGATCTACGCCAGACCTCAAAATATACAGATCTGTTTGTGTCTCTCTTTTTTTCCTTTCTCCCTCATGCTTTTCATTAAGGGATAAGAGAGTCCCTGGAGGACCCATCTGGAGTGCAGAAGACTGATTCTCCCTCATCATTAACCAGCAGTTTCAGCAAAGACTGTCAGGAGAAGCAGTAAGTGAAGCTACTGTAGGTGAACATTTCAATTAGACCGGCGGTGCTGAACTGTAAACTTACTTTCCAGCACATGGGATTTTTACAACGTACGGCTGTGGTTAAATATGGCTGCAGTAGTGGTACAATAATTATGAGAAACATTACAGCAGTATTAGAATATTAGTTGACCATTCACTAAGCTCCTCTCACAGTAGTTACAGTTTCTCTGCCTGTCATGCTTTCTGTACTGGCACACCACATAAGCAGTTAACACTGATAGTGGTGGCAGATTTATTACTCCAAATTAGCAATGTTTCTATCAATGTGTCCTTCATTTTAGACATAGGTAGACATTAGCAAGCTTCTCATTTCCAGGTACCAAAGTTAGTGTTTGTTAGTTGTCAACTGCTGGCTGATATGACAACATTTTCTGAAAGATTTTTTATCAATCTCTAAATCCCAAATATGGATTTTTTAAGAAAACTCCAGCTTCTTAGACCTGTTGTGCCTGTTGGCTAAGGCTATGACTGTGATGAGTTGATTGATCAGTTCAAATACTGTATAACAAATGAGGCATACTCAAAAAAAAAAAATACCCTGGGATTCAGTTACACTTGGACATCAACATCATCATCAGCTTTGACTGTTCAGGAGTTTTCTCCTCTGCTATTAATATTGTATTTAACTTTTCTGGATTACCAGGTTTCTCTCAGTCTTGACATGTGTGTACAACCGAAGAGCCTGTGTAAATGTAAAAAGTTCAAAAACAGTATATGGATTTATAAAATCTTTCATAAAATCTAGCATGTTTAAATCTTAATAATCTTTTTCAATTAGACTGATGTTAAATGGTGTTATCTTCCTTGAATAAACAGCTGACTGCTCTGGGTGGACAGCAAATTTACATAACGCAGTACAAGGGTGAAGGGGAAACAGGCAGAAACAATGAACAGGCAGAATGAAAAGGTTCCTGTGAAACCAACACAAAAAGGTGAAGGTTGTTATTGTCATTTGTGCTTTCATTTTTCAGACCTACCATGCATGCATTTAGACCCAGGAGTCAACAGGCTGAGGCTTAACATCACAAGCGTCCACCAGACTGACCGCAGGCCTGTTACTCCTGATATAGTGTTTCCTATTTGTGTCATTCTGTGGTCACAGGAGGACGGGTTAAAAAAACACAGGAAACAAAAAGAGGTCAGTACATTTCACAATTACATTCACACACGCATCAGAGAAGCCAGCGTTAGTTCCCTGCCTTAAAGGAAAGCTTGGAAAGAAGTCAGAGTGATTACAAAACAGAATACCAAAACATGCAAATCAGACAGAGGGAGGGAGCAGCTTCAGCAGCATCCAAAGTGGGCAGAACACCTCTGGGATGTACAGATGGCAAGCTTAGAAGACAGCTTTGGAGTAGCACTAGAAGGCCTTTACACTCTGAAGGCAAACCCAACTGTGCTGCGATTACTCCTGTCTGTTGATTCTGAGCTGGTATCTGCCCTTTTAACATGTGATAGCACAGAGAGTATGACTTAAGCTTTGGCTTATTTAGTCAGTAACCTAAATATGATGAAGAGTATCTGTCAACCAAAATGGATGACTGACACATAAAGCCAGTGTTCAGAGCACAGAAGCTGCTTATAGCTGGTTTTGAGCTGCTATACTTTTCTCCTATATTAGCTTTTTTATTTTACCTTTAAACTAGCCAAAACTTACTGCATAAGACCTGCACCGTAAAGCGGCACTAAAGGCTAAGGAGTACCGCTACAATGGCTATAAGACAAAGTGTGGCACTAAAATCTGACAATGAAAAATATACAATAAAAGTTGTCATCAAGCAGGTTTCATTGTAGGCTTTACAAATGAACACACTGATGCTGCAGAGCAAACATCTGTGATGATTAGCCTTTTAACCTATGATATGCATATTATTACAACTACAAGTAAAAAAATAAAGAGATGAAAAATAATAGTACATGCATTATGTATTTGTGCGCTGTGGTCAGGGAGGAAGTTTTTTCAGAAGAACAGTTACAAGCAATTGATTTTTTTTTCTCAAACAGCTACACTGACATAATATAATGGCAAATTAACTGAATTTAAAATCAGAACTGAAATTCAAATTAAAGGTATCTTTAATGGGATTTTGACTATTTATAACTCCAGTTTCAGACATCCAAAAAGATAATCTGAATATCTTTTTAAAGTTTTGAGTTAAATATATCTGTAATTGGAATTATGATGGTCAAAATTACATTAAAGATATCTTTACTTAGAATTTTGACTAGTCAGAATGTAATTACAAACATCTGGAATTCACATTTTGGATAGGCAGAACTGAACTGTAGATATCTTCAAGTAGTTTTCCCATTCAAGTCAATGAGGAATCTTACTAGTCAAAATTTAATTGCAGATATCTTAAATTATAATTTGACTAGTCATAAATACATTGTAGATATCTGAAACAGGAATTCTGTTGATCTTATTAATGCTAAAAGGGTGCAGTGACGTCAGTAACGTAATTTCAGGTATCCAAATAGGAACTGTGGCTAGTCAAAATGTAATCACAGATATCTAAAATTGGCATTTTTACTGGTCAGGATACAATTGTGGATATTTATCATTGATCATTTTTTACTAGTCACATTGTAATTTCGACTAGTCAAAATCCTGTTTTAGATATCTGAAATGCAATTATGGACATTCAAGTGAAACCTTTTAAATGTTGAAACCACCTGCCATATGACCAGGACCATATGGCAGCTAATGTTGGCTAACATGAGCACAGATTAGGTAGATGTTTCTTTGTAATGTCACAGTGTTATTGTTGTGCTTGTACTGCTGTTACACTCCGCTTTAGCATTTACTGTTAACTTGTAATTGTTAGTAAACTTAAACAATCATAATTATACCCTGGTTTAAAAAGCCATGAATCAGTGCCTACCAACAGCAAATGTAAAGTTGTTGTCATCCTGATAAAAAGTCAAATACCACAGATTTTGAACTGGACTATTTACTTTGCTCCAAATTTTACTTCTACCCTGACATTGCATCTGAAAGATTTTCAAGAAGCAGATATGCAGTAATAACCATACACCTAGAGAGACCTATGCTAAACAGATTTTAATGGACTCCACCAGCACTCATTTTATTACAGTGCTATTCATCCAGCAAAGCTACCGTACTTTCACCTTAATGCAGATGAAAAATAACCTATAAAAAGGACTTGAGTGTCATCTGACACATGTAAGACATCAAGTGAGGCCAGTAAGAATTTCATTGTACAGGGAAATATGTTACCTAACTGTGCATTTGACAAAATAAACACTTTGAACTATTCTGTGACTCCTCTTTTGAGGCTGGATTGCCAAACATCTCAACACTGTACAAACTTTAACTGCTGTGTGAAACAGCTTTATAATCAGCAGATGACCACTTGATAATGCAGCGGTATGTTCATCGCCATGGCAAGGGTCATCTCCATGAGGAGCGCTTCCTGGCAGCCCTCTTAATCCATTTCAGATTAATTACTTTACAGATGCTGTGAAGCTTATGCTCAATTAACTGGTGGCTCACAGAGGTTGTTCACAGCATCAGGCTGCGATGGACAACATTAGCAGAGAATGACAATTTCTGGCCACTTTAATCAATGACACTAAGAGCCTCTAATGAGGAGCACCACAGAAACACAAAGAGAGAGAGATGGGGGAGAGGTCGTGATTAATATTTCAACAGGGCACCGTGATTTTATCTTTTTCTTTGCCCCAGTCCCACAGTAGATCAAATGAGGTCTGCCTGTACCTTTAACGGCTCCCGTTCTGTCAGGTCCACTGAGCCGTCACCTGTCTTGTATTTGCAGTCCTTGTCCCTCTGGTCAATGGTGGAGTAACCATCTAATGAGGTTAGAGAACAAGAGTCAGAGAACTCCTCTCCATACATGATTAAAAAAAAAAACTTACAAATCATTCATAGTGTTAAAACATGTTCAGTGACAGAAAGACTTCCTGCATTGGAACATTCATGAGAGCGCCAGGAAAGCTGCTGGAAACAGAAATGTCCATTATGCCTTCACATCAGGAGGTTGTGCTTGTCTACACATTCTGGCACTCATGTTATTTACCACCAAAGTCAGATACACACTCATGTTATTTACCACCAAAGTCAGTCTGAAGTACTTGCTAGTGGTATCTGACCCTGTGATAATAACCATCTTTAAAAAAGCACACTCACATATTCCGACTCAGGGCCAGTGTTTATCAAGTGTCTTAGAGAAGGAATCAGTCCTAATTGGCCAAAACCTCTCACAGTGACACAATCTGTATTAGGTCCTAATTTTAGTCGAGCTGCAGTGATGGCTTTTAGGAAGAGACATGCACATACATTTTGTGGGAGGAGAAATATTCTTTGGTGACTTTGAGATTATTAGGAGATACCAGCAAATAAGTAATATATTGTTGACTGACATTGTGTGAATTACAAAGAAAGTATAACAGATACCAGAGGTATATAAAGTTTGTTCATGTTACAACAGTTTATTTCTAGTCTATTAATTCAGTTTTTACCCAGAATATAGGGTCACATAAGTTAACAGGAGGTTAAGTGTAGCAAATCATCTCTCTGCAATACAGAGCTAATACAGCTAATGTCTATTTTAAATTGCATAAACATCCAGTATTTACTTACTTTATGTACAATATATAATTATGGGATTTAGGCTCTTTATTCAATTTGGTATCAACATGTTGCACAAACAATATATATACCTGAAGCCTACACATAACAGTGTTGCTATTTTGTGCATGTCAACATTTATCTCTTATATATTCTTAATTCTTAAATAATTCAAACTGGAGCTGTCAGAAAAACACAATATGTCATTTTGAGTGTCGTAACACAGCGAGCCTCCTAGGAGTCCTTTTTGCTGAAAGCGTGTGTAGAAAGCTGCATAAATAATTCTCCGGTCTCACTTGGAGATTGGAGTGTTTTGAGGCCTAGTTTCACTTTCAGCACAAATTCCTCTGAGGGGTTTTTAGATGCCTGATAAATGCAGGCCCAGGGGCTTGGAGGTAGACTGGCACGATACCCTAGGAGGGTGACTTTGGGGAAAAGAAAACCTAGTACAGCTAACAAGTTACTTCTTCATGGCAAAAACTCTTATTCTGTCACCCCAGGAGTTACAAAATTCTGATTTCATGAATATAAGAAAAGGAAGCCTGTCAAAGTTGCAGTTCTATATTTTGTAGAAGAACTATTTACTATGGAGGAAAATCTGCCGTGTAATAAGAGTGTATTAATTATGCAGTAAGTGGAGAGCTGCCCACATCTTTCGGTGTTGAGTTGCTAATGAGAGCCCAGCTTTGTACAAACATCTTGTCAAGAAAGGGGTCTTGCACACAGCATCAAAGACTGTCATGTCTGAAGCTCAGTCCACAGCCATCACACTGAGATCAGAGTGTTCAGTAGTTTGATTTTTCAGATTAAAAAAAAAAATCTTGGCAACGATTAAAGAACATAGAAGAGATGCTGAATCAAAGATGACACTATTGGACACTGGAGAGAGATTAGAGGAGAGCTAGCTCCTGTTTGGCTAAGGACCATCATGCAGGCTGGCTCTTACCTGGACCCAGCTCATCCATAGGTATCATATCACCACTGCCACATTTCCTGGTGCCTGAAACGCATTCATATGCTGTTTGTACAAAAGTGGTGACACACAAACTGAGCCATTGAGCCAAAATGCTGCTGCTTTTCAAGGTAATGGTTCTCAGCCAGTGACTAAATAATGCAAACTAAGAGGGATCAGGCATGAGCGCCGCAATTCATGTGCATGTATGGATGCAAAAATACAACAACAACAACAACAATAACAAAAAAGGGTGCAAGACCAAAAAATCAGGATGCTCAACTGCTGCTATGGTATTGGCTCCTCTGTCAAAGAGATGTCTGTTGTTGTTGACCCCCCCACACACACATACACTGCTGCTGTTACAGAAAACCTCAGTGTTTTGATTGTAACACTTCCCTAAGGTGGGTATTCATTTTCATTATATCAGACCTTATTATGTACATCTATTTAAAATTCAAGATGAAAAAAACAAAATAGTTCAGCTACATTTTGTTTTACATTCAGAATGTTTTGAGAGTTGAAGGTTTTGGTCTAGCAGCAGCAGTATGCTGTTCAAAGCTCCTTCTCCTGTTTCACGTGCTTTACTTTTGACCCCTGTGAATGGCATTATTGCAACATAACACACCACAGCTTCATCACACAGGAGATGAGAGGAATGTGGCAAGCATGGTGCTTCAGTGTAGCCATGAAAAGTAAATACATACATGTCCTGAGCAACACACACTGAGTCAAATGTTGATTTCCAGTAATTGTTAGTAATTGGTTTAAACCTGCTTTGAGGACTATGTGGGTGGGATACTCCATGTCAGGACAATTCTGACCCAAATAGAGCCTGACAGATCTTAATCACCTCTGCTTTTCCACCATAGGAACCTACCAAAACAAAGTACTAATATCAAGCTCCAGCAACATGTGCCGGCAGGGGGGTGGTGGTGCAGGTGGGTGGGGTGACTGGTTACGTGTCAGTGTCTTCATATCTCAATTATATTAGATTACAAGCATGGTGTGTACACATACACTGGTTTAGAAGTAAAACGAGCAAGGGCTTCAAATGTTGGTTTATAGGTGAAACGGGAACTTCAGTGAGTGGACTGCAGGCGAAGAGATGAAAACGTCACAGTTCTGCAAGTTTGTGTTCTGCTTGTTCAAAGGCTGTTTGATAAACTGGTCATACAGTCTCTGTTATTGGCTGCTTGTTGCAGTAAGGAGCACTGTGTGTGTGTGTGAGTGTGAGAAGCACAGCCCCCCTCATCTAACCAGAGGCCGACACAGGGAAAAACAGTGGAAAAGCCCATGAGCATATGCTGGGTTACAGTCAAGGGAAACACGGCGTGTGCCGCTCATTAGGTTCCAACAGTGGAAGCTATAGAAAGAGTTTAGACATTTGGTTTTGGCACTGTCCTGGGCTTTGCTTAAAATAACAAAAATCTACAATATTGCCAGCCTCATTGTTTAGATTATTCACTGAACCACTATGTGGTAGATTAATTCTCACACATTTGTTCTATTGTGAAATAAATTCTAACATTTAATTGCTCTCCATTTTGCTGAGGTCCCCTGGGTATTCCCTACCTAATCCCATCCACTTGGTCCTCTAAACAGGTAAAAACAGCAACAAACACACTCCACTCTATCTGACCTTGGTTCTTCTCCATCAGGGGTAGAGTGGTGTCGTCGTAGCCTGGCTTGCCATTCTTGGTTGCTTTAGGGGTGGTGGTCACCGTGGGCTGAGAGAAGGGACAGAGCAACACATCAACACAGCATCATACGGCACAAACAGCTGCATGTAGAACGGAGAGAATTCATTTTATTATTTTATGCAATGTATGCCTAAGGATGCTATTAATACTATTTATCATGTAAATACTCTGTTAGGACATTAATGACAAACTGGTACTGCAGATCCAGATTATATGTGAAGAATAACTTCCACAAGACTACAGTTCTGTACCTGGAAGTGGCTCTTGTTCCAGCCGTCCTTGGTCAAAGCATTCCTCAGCTCCTTATAGCTCCACACTGTCTGCAGCACATGTGACGCCGCCTTGGTTTCTCGAGCTGATTGGCTGAGGGGGCCATAAGATGGAAGAAATACATTAAGAAATATCTAGAAGAATTAATTCAGAAACCCCATCTCACCCTGAAACCGTGACAACTGGGTGTTCAGCTCCCTGCTGCTGCAATCAATCTCTTTATTCAAAGATGTCAAGTCCCCTAAGTGGCTCCAGGGTCTAGTTTTTAATTCGCAGCCAGACGAGTGCACATTTCTTTTCATTAGCTACCTCTGAGCCACCAGCATTAATTGCATGTGGGTGGGGGCCTCACTTCAAAGAAAATGAATCTCAGAGGGGTGAGAGGAAACACAGCTATTTGGTCTGTGAATGAACTATGTATATTCATGCTAGTTAGAGTGACACTTTGTGCGATCAATACTTCACATAAGGACATGCCTGTGAAAAGTGCACTTGGTGCTAAATTAAAAGTGCGGTGTGCTGAAGACACTTCATTTTGGAATGGTTAACATCGTGGTAATATACAGTAAAACACCTCTTGTGCCATTGCTGGTTGTTGAGTAGAACTTAGAGCAATGAATACTCACTTATTTGTTTACAAATAAGCCTGTTCATTAATGTGTGGTGGGTAGTGGTGTGTGTCGGCCCATGCTTATTAGAGTACAGTACTGTGGTAGCCATTAGAGACACATTACATGATCCATAATTAATGCTAATAAAAATGCTCATTATTCAAACTGTATTCAAGGTCAGACTAATCATTACATGAATGTCTCCAAGGTATACCCACATGTCCGCCATGGTTTACATAGATATAGTTTCTATTTTTTCCTCTGCCTACGATACAAACTGTTTAACCGACAGTATATGACACAGAAAACACACAAGAAAAGCACAACTGCCCACAATTTATAGAATAACTGGTGTTTGGGTAAACTTTCAGTGGCTTATTTTGTGATAAAAAGGCAACCAGTGTTAAGTGTGGAACTGTACATGAGGTGTCACCTGTAAAGAGTATCTCAATAAATACATAAACCCCTCAATTTATAAACATAATTTAAACCAAAGGAGATAGTCTTCTGGTTCACATGCACTCAACCTAGAAATAAAGCAACGTTCAAGGTACAGCATGGGATGTACGGTTTGGGTAAGTCTGACCTGGTCCTGTTGATGGCGACCAGCTTCTCGATGGCCTGGGCCTGGATGAGGGAGCGGGCGTTTTCCGAGCTGTCGGTGACAATCTCATGGATGGTGTTGAGGATGGCGACCACAGTGTCTTCCTCAAGATTTTTGGCTGGCCGCTGCTGACCGCTGGGCAGGTTGCTCACTAAGTCCCGCATGGCGTAACTTCCTATTAGGTGAATTATTTTTTAAAGGTTAACCAGCTGATAGTGGTAGGATAACGTTTAACTTCACCATTCATCAAATTCAATCCAAAAATAGCTATCACAGTATGAAGGGATGTCCTTAAGGCCGGTGTGGACAGGGGATGTAATTACAGCCGGCAGTAACTGTTTCAGTATAGATGTGGGAATGTGAGGATTGTTTTAAGATAAGACCTGAAAAAAATGCGAACCAGTCTTTTAAGAAGCTAACAATAAGTAACAATAATGGCATCCATTATATTTGCGTCAACTTGAAACAACCACATGCACTGGATGAAATCTCTGATCAGTGTGTGTGTTATTGCTGATGGCATTTGTACCGATCAGGTCTTTGTTGCGGCGGTCAATGGACAGGTTGCGCAGGGCGATGGCCACAGCTCGGACCACCTTGTCAGAGTCTGAGCGAAGCAGCTCCACCAGGATGGGCAGACCTTTCTCCTTACGCACTGTGGCTCGGATGTAGTTGGACCACTGGAAGGCAGACAGAGGGCATGGTGTGACTGCTTTTTATCATTTCAACCTTTAACCTCCAGACTTACAGATTCCAGCCTGGGAGCTGCCCGGTTTCACTGCGCTACTTTCTTTTTTTTGTTGGACTACTGGGAAAGCACCATTGGAGGAGTCTAGATAACACCAGTTAGGGGAGGAAAGGTCATTTTTGATAAATGCCTTCATGCTAACATGCACATAACCTATACATGTACACACACTCACACCCATTCGCTAAGGATCTACAAGACACTCAGCCCTGCTTTGTGGTCTTCACAACATTATAAAGTGGGGCTCTAAATGGTCATGTGACCTCATTTGTCTTATTTTAAACATCCATCAATTTGATTTCTTATACTGTTGTAACATGAGACATTAAATTTGACATAAAGTTTTTTCTTCTAAGCACTGATACCCCAAGAGATGCAATTAAGCAGAGGACAGGCACAACTGAACTACTAGGTGGCAGTAGAGAGCCTTGCAAAACAGCTCGATCCAGTGATACAAAGCAGAAGCAAAGAGTGAGGAGGATTTGAAGAAGGAGCTCTGGTATCTTCCCAGGGAGCTTTGCTTTGTCCAGCTACCAGGTGTGACAGTGTGATGTGTTGGTGGCTCCATAGGTTCCTGAGTATGGCCTGGCATTCTGATCAGCTTCAACAGGGAAAATACACCAAAGGAAAAAAGGACTTGTCCTCAAAATGCTCACCTTAACTGAAAATCACAATTCACCTGAATTATTCATAACATTAAATGTGACACTCAATGTTGGATTTTAACTCATGAAATTAAACAAAACCAAAAAAAAAAAAGTCAAAGAGTTCTGGTACAAAGGTTTGGTGCTGCAGATAAATTAAGAGGACTGAAGGATGTGTTTATAATCAGACACATGGGTGTTAAGAGAAGCGCTGCCACGATAATGGTGCCGTGAGCTGAATACAGCCAGTCTGCTGAAAACAAGTGGCCGCTCTTGCCTGAGGTGCTGCGTGTAAACTGGCGTCTGGTAACTAGCCTTTCCTGTTGATAATTTGCTTCTGCCTGCAAGTCAGGCAGCTTCTCTGCAGCTCCACAGTTGTTCTAATTGGAATAAATGTCTGAATCAGGCTGGAGAAGTTCCTATATTATCCATCATCTGAGCAAACATCTACCAGAGCTGAGAGAGTAGTATACATTAGTTTTCTAATCCTTAATCACATAATCCTGCTTACATGGAAGGTCCTGACTAAGAAAGGTATTATAAATAAACAAATTGGATCTACTGTACACCTGTCAATAAGATACTTCTAAATAGCATTACATTTCTTTATCCACTTATACACTTTCAAAGTGCATAGAGATATTTTGCTGTTTATACTCTATGACTTTCACAGTGCATTTTTCATGTTTTCAGTCCCCAACCATCTTAGAGATCAATATTTGATAAAGATTGTACTGTCTATTGCACCTGCTGCCTTGTTCTGTTGTCTCTGCCTTGAGATTTGTTTCTGCCTACACTGCTCCTAGTATATGCTTTGCACAGACACCGTACATCTACACCTTATTAAAGTGACTGAGCACCTCTGGAGGCAGAGCTTATGTCCTTTGAAGCCCTTTGACTCGAGGTATTTTTGCTCCCATCACAATCCCAAGATACCTGCTATACAAAGGTCAGTGATGAGGACAGAAAATGAATAAGCTCAGTATATAAATAAAAGAAATCTATCAGTCAGACAGAACATAGTGTCTTTGTGTTGTGCCCTCCCTAACCCAGGACTCACAGTCCACTGTCCAGCGCTGAGGTTTTGCAGAGCCCCAGCAGCAGCCTCGAGGGTGTTGTAGTTCTGGCTCTCCGTCAGCAGAGATAGGTAGAGCCTCACCACCTCTGGCTGATACAGAAGCTCAAAGCCTGCAGGAAAATACAGAGAAGGAGACACATGCTGGTTAAACTACATTGCCAGACAGCCTGGCCAATTAGGCAGTGCCAGTAGAAATGTGCTGAGGTTTATCTCAGACCATAGGCAAAGCTCTTTGGCACAAAAAAACAACAAAGAAGCCTGAGTTTACCATAGCACTGCTAACAGCAGGCAACCTTGTGAAATACCATACAATTTGAATGGTCTTTTTTGTTAGTTTCGCTGGAAATGTTCACAGTTATACAAGATACAGTGTAGCAAGGAGGAGATGTCCAGCTGGTTTCACAATAGTCTGCAACAACTTCATTAAGAAATGCTTGAATGATGCCTAGTGTATTTGCTATTAATAATACTAAAGCATATGATAATTTAAGATTCTTCAGTATTATAAATGAGGACCACACAAGAAGAAAATTTGAGAAGGTGGTTTATCTCACTGGGACAAAACACATTCCTCTACAGTCAATCATTAGGCCTCCCTCTGATGGAATTGTAATTACATCATTAGCTATTAGATAGTGTAGGCGCAGGGAGAGTCAGAGGCATAGAATCACATCAAATCAAATGTATTCATCTAGAGCTTTCTCTTACACTTTCATCACTACTGTACGTGCTTTACCGAGGAACAACAAGACAGCACAATTCAATTAAAGGTTAGAGAATGGATATTTCATCTGTGAAGGTCATTGTGAGCTGTGGACATCTCTGGAGGGAGTCAAACATTTTTAAGGCAGGATACCTCACACCACAGAAAGGGAGGACTGCTTGTCAGATTTCACTGGCCTGAGCAATCCATCATTATTTGTATGATCCCTGAAGGCAACTTCAGATGACCTTATACATTCTGGGGTTTTATTTTACACCAGTTTAAGTAAAATCCTAATATGTTTAGCTCACATATGGAAAACATGCAACAATACAGCTTGTTAAAATACTGTACATGTATGATCCATGTTTGGTTGTCCATCAACAGAGTCAGAAGGGAGATCATAGTGCTTGAGCAGGGGCACAATCTGCTACTACACACTGAGGCTATAACAGACAGGCAGTCTAGATGACAAGTTAACTGATACTTTGAAGCTGGTGACTAAAAAAAGTTTTTCATAAAGTAGCACAAAAGCAATTTTAAATACTTTTGCTATCTTCTAGGTTCAATGTAAAGAACTTCCCATGTCTTCTGAGGTCAGCATTTCCAGGAGTCTTTTTGAAAACTCCTGGAAACATAGACTAACTCCATTCTTATTGAATCAAGCTCCAAAAGCTGACTAGTCGATGTAGACAAAAAGAGAATCCTTTTGTAGTATGACTAACAGTCTGAGTATAAAAGTATTGTTCAAAACACATATGAGGAAATCTTTCTCATTGACTTCCTTTTTTCAGTAGAAGGAAAAACTCTGTAACAAAGAGTGTGATTTTTGTGCTGGAGAGGTACAACCAAAACGTTCAAACTGACATTTGTGTCTCTAAATCCACATCTCACACCCATAATTTGCAGAAAGAGGAAGTCTGGGTGCACTCTGAGATCACCAGATTCAGACACAGCAACATAGTTGTTAACACTCTAAAGGAAGGGTTTTCATCCCTGTGGCGTTTCCCTTCAAGACAGTGCCAAGCCTGCTCCAGATTGTGTGTGGGAGGAAGTGCCAGGTTGGGAGGATGTTACTGTAACTGCTGTTGGAAAAATGCACAAGATCCCAGTTGTAACCATGTATCCCATTAAAGGGGCTTCTCAGGGTGACACAAGAGGGGAGAGTGTGCAAACCAGACACTCAGTGACATTTTGCTTGTTCCTCATATTTCTTGGCCTACTGAGTGCACACTCAACAAACTGGAGACCATCTTGCAGGCAGTCCTGTTGACAAGGCACTTCATCTCCAAGGCAAATTCTCTCTGCACAAAATGTCAAACATGTTGAACCTTTGTTGCCACTGCAACTATTATGACAGGATTTTTTGTAATGTAATCTGAAGTTCCACATTTCTTCCATCCTCTCACTCCCTTGGTTTTGGTCTGGCAACCAGTGAAAGTGACTTATGAAATTGGCATTGTACAAATGAAAGACTCCAGACAAAAACAAAAAAAAAGACAAGTACTGCTCAACAAAGGAGGACGAGAATGGAGGAAAATTCATTCAGCTTTTAAAATAATTCCATTAACCTCAGTGTACTTTCACTGTTGAGCCAAATAATGTCTCTGTCAGAGTTTTCACTCAGTGTCCGCAGAAGAAGCTGAATGTCAGCACTGGGTGCCTCAGACTGAGCTTCTAATGTGTTCATTTCTATGGGGGATTGCGTTCACCGCAACTGTCACCAGCACCGCAGGAGGGAAAACGAAGCAACCGGATGCAGTGAAAAAGTTGGATCTGGTTCAACTTTTGCCACACTGGACGGTGACATCATCTGGCAAAGCCACTGCATTGCCCAATCACATATGAGGAGTGACTGGAATGCCAACACCCACTGGAAGAAAATGTTTGTTTACTTTGTTAGCATGAGCATTCACTGCTATTCATTGTCACATTTAGGTCACAGTTCACACATCATAACAACAGCCCATGTGTTTTCATTAGTTAGAGTACTGGATGTTAAACTGTGTTTTTATCTATCAATGCTGACTCACTGGTGGTAAAATTGGTGCTAAAGTAGAGTAGGCTATGTTAGCAGCATGGCTCACCAAAATACAACAGAAGCTCACGGGATGGAAGTTCACAGGCTCCCAACGTCATACATGCCTACACACTCCCCCTGCAACCCCTCATCACCCTAACCAATGCAGCCCCTTGCGTTAAAACACAGTAGGGAGCTGCATGTTTGCCAGCTCAATATGAATATACACTTAAGTCTCTCCTAACGCATTAGTCAGGGTGGGCTCTGCAACCGCATACTGTAGTGCTGTTCTTGTCACCGTCCAGTGTTGTAGTACTCGAGTCCAGGACTTGGACTCATGTCCTGATTTTCAGGACTTATGGACTTGAGCACTGATGACTTGGACTTGGATTTGGACTTCAGCATTGACTGCCTTAGGACTCAGAAGTTGGAGATGAGGACTCAGATTTCTGTTTATTTTTTCATGACTCATATTTGACTTGGACTCAAACAGGTTATCCATTCTGAATTACTACAGGAAGTAAAGCTAAATGATTCAAGCAAATTTTTACTAACTAAATATAAATGTATTAAGATAAATACATCACATATCTCCCCAAGATGGCACCCCCATCCTAACATTCAACACGGTGTGTTGTACCTACCATCATTTTAATTTCCTCTAGTAGTAGGTAGCTGTTTTTTTATTTTTTATAAAGAGCTCTGATAAATGCTTCCTACATGGTACCAAACAATAAAAAGACAAAGCTGGAAACTACTGTACCTGGTGAACATAATGGAGCACTTATCTACATAGTTCCCTCAGGAGTTGGTTAAGACAAGAGAGCTAAAACAAAGTGAATATCAGCCTCCCTGGGTGAACATGAACACACATCCTGATGAATACAATGCTGCTCTGTATTTGCTGGATGTGAAAATTGGGCAACTTTGTGCTAATAGGAACTTTATGATGTGATAATGTGTCATTTTTGTGTTTAGATTTTCATAATGGATTATTATTAATGGAGCATACATCATTAATAATTTAAGAAGCATTTTAATGTGGTAACAAGTCACTGGGACCATTTTCTTTTCTCAATATTACATGTTCTTCAAAAATAAGATATTATAGTAAATGTGCTTAGTTGTGTTCTACCACCGTCAGGCACATATACACAAAACAGCAACTGGCTTCCACTAATCACCTAACACACACACACACACACACACAAAGTGGGTTAGAAACAAAGTTAAGCTAAAGTGCTTGATTAGCATTAATTCAGTTCAAATAGCTTTACTATTGGCTGCAATTAAAGCTAAGATGTAGTGGGGTGACAGGCTGGGAAATGATAGGTGATGGTTGAAGAAAGGACACACACTCAAATATGTATGTAAACATAATGAGGACTCTTCTTTCCACCTGCTTTGCTCAAGCATAGTTGGCTGCATCCATGCAGAAGTGGATGAACACTGCAAACACCTCCACCCACACACAGACCCACAAACAGACCATGTCAAAAAGTGATGTTCAGTGATTGATTCAGTTTGCCTACATCGTGTACAAGTTCTCATCCAGCCTCTACACAAGCGCTGGACTAGCTCCATTTATTTACTGCTTCATTTCCAGCACACTTACAGCATAGAGCTATTCCATCAAATCAGGTGGACATGATGGCGTATCACTTTCTACAACTCATAGGGGAGTTGTAAAGAGCTGTGAAAGGGCTGAAGAGAGATGGTGGTAGATAACATCAGTGGTACTATAAACAAAAAACAGAAAAGGGTAGAAAGTAAAAACCAGCCTCCTGTCTGTCATCCTGAGTCACTTTTCTGTAGCAGGTGTTTGTTCTTGTGTTCTAACTGCAATAACACACAGCTGTTGATCTTTGCACTCCTGACTTTGGGTTAACTGAAATGCTGGTGATGTCCAGTACTGTAGGAGAGGGAGCTTTCTATTGCTACTCACATTAAGTCTCTTCAGGTACAGTAAGCACCATAGAAAGACAGAGACATGGAAGACAGAGAAAGGAAAAGAGATGAGAAAATGCTTTTATAGAGCAGTGCTGACCACAGGGTGACATTCTCACCATAAGAAAGGCTGCCTAAATAAATGAAGCAATGGGGAAGCCTAACGTCGTGGACTCTCCAGTCTCATTCCACATCTGAAAGTCATGCACATGTAACTGCACCAACCCCCTTTTAATGCAAGAGTGTCTTTATACATGGAGGAGTGCTAATGAAGATTTTTACAGGGCACAGCTACAGTCGGGCAATGGCTAAAACAGCACATCATTAAAAATATCACGCTGTATAATAATGGTCGTGACTCTCTCGGGTTCATTAAAACCCAGAAGGTGAGTTGTGAGCCACGTAAACAAAACAAGTAAATTGGCAGGCTTTCACGGGGG